ACCCCACCCACGACCTCGTCGTTTTCAAATCCCTAGACCACCTGGTACCTCCCTACACTTGAATTGCAATTACACAAAAATCGAAATCTTCAGTTTCTGCGAATGAATTGAATTATAAAAATGAAAATCAACAGGTGAATCGATTAGATAGTGAGGGTTATTATGGAGGCGTCCGATTGCTGATGGCAATTTGCAAAGAAAACGAGATTCAGTTAGAGCCTCGAAATTTCACTCTCTCATATGATACTAATATCCCTCGACAGGTATTATCAGCTAATTTTCCATTACACTTAATTTTAGTGATTCAGTAAAGTAGCAAGTAATGATGTTTCTCTTTCACTTTCAGACAGGACTTTCAGGGTCTAGTGCTATTGTGTGTGCAGCCCTCAGCTGCCTTCTTGATTTTTACAAGGTTAGGCATTTGATCAAAGTCGAGGTCCGCCCCGGCCTCGTCCTTAGTGCCGAGAAGCAACTTGGAATTGTTGCCGGTCTTCAAGATCGTGTTGCCCAGGTGTATGGTAGCCTTGTTTACATGGTACTCAAATTTCAACCATTCCCTACCTAGCCTCTCCTTTTCACATTTCAACCAGTCCCTACATTGCTTCTACTTGTAGTAACTTTTTAACTTCCTAGGAATTTGACAAGGAGCACATGGATACTTTGGGGCATGGCATTTACACACCCATGGATGTTAGTCTCCTCCCACCTCTTCACCTTGTCTATGCCGAGAATCCAAGTGATTCCGGGAAGGTTAGCCTTACACGTTGTTAGTGCTCTCTCATTGTTTCCCACCTGCTGTGCAATTTGTACAACAATTAACACATTTATTTACTTGTAAGGGCAGGTACATAGTACGGTTCGTCAAAGGTGGCTCAATGGCGACGAGTTTATAATATCATCCATGACGGAAGTTGCAAATATTGCACTAGAAGGAAGGACGGCATTACTTGAAAAGGACTACACTAAACTAGCAGCGCTCATGAACCGTAATTTTGACTTTAGAAGGTTTGAGATATCTACATTTTGACTCATAATTTGATTATGTGATTGCCCGACTCTGATCCCAGAAGCTCTCATATCTGTTTATTTGGACTGAATTAGAGTATAAAAAATTAATTTTAAACGGAAGGTGATTGCACAACATGATGTTGTTCAGACTGTTGCCACACAAGGTTGATTGCACAAACTGTACATTTGTATGCCACATCTTATTCACTTTCTAATCCCCTTGACAGACCAGAAAGCTGGATAAATAAAAACAAAAAATGATAGCAAAATTGTAGCCATGGTACCCCAAATAAGACCCCACTTTATTTTTCATCCCTCAACCCCAAAAATTGTTATGGTCGCCCTTCAATTAGATATCGTGTTGCACCACTTGTCCTTTCCGTCAATTCTGTTAGTTTCTCCGTCAAAATTGATCACATGTGATGCACGTGATATTTTTTTTGATGGGCAAATAAGACTTTTACCCAGCTACTACCCTCACCACTTCTCAGCCTACATGACACTCAGCTGGGCTGGAGTCAGACCTTATGTTTTGAACCATCTTCATATTTGCTAGCATTTTATGTATCTTATGGCTGCTCAGTACCGGTACATGGATGTTGTGCAGAAGCATGTTTGGAGATGATGCTCTTGGCACTTTAAACATAGAAATGGTGGAGGTGGCCCGAAGGGTGGGTGCAGCATCCAAAATCACAGGTAGCGGTGGGGCTGTAGTCGTATTTTGCCCAGATGGTCCTTCACAAGTGAAGCTCTTAGAGGATGCTTGCCAAAAGGCTGGTTTTAAACTTGAACCGATACAAGTCGTTCCCTCTCTTCTAAATGAGGTTGATCTTCAGACTCTCACAAAATAGGCGAGTACTTGGGGTCTTTTCACTTTTGTTCTTGACACCCTCCCGCCCTTCTCTCCCCGTCTCTCATTGCTTTATATTGGTAAAGTAGAACTGTCAATTTTTGGTAGATGCTCCATTAATAAAAGGGAACGACTTTAATTTGATTCAATTGCTGTCAGCTTGAATGCCTATACTTCCAAATTTCAAAGGTACAACTGTCAATTTTGATAGATGCTCCATTTATTATTATAAGGGAACGAAGTTATGCCAGCCTTAACAGAGACCAAGAGGAGTTGAAGATCAATTTTATTTCCATGTGTAGAGAATGTTGAGATCAGAGCACTACTGAATGAAAAGACGACCTTCAACACTCAATGTCTCTGTATTTCTATTGACGGCAACGTTTCAATCAAAAGTACATTGGCCCAAACTAAAACTCAAAGTAATCTCTATAAGAAGGCATGAATTAGAATACAATTTATGATCAATAGAACATATACAACATCCCACCACTAGAGCTAGAGCTATAGAGATCTTGAGACCCCAACCAAAAAAAAAAAAAAACCACCAACAAGCTACTTAGAACCAATTCATTCACGGGTCACATAGCGAATTCATGAGCTCCCGTGGTGAACCCCAGATTGGAAGATCGAGTAGAGATTGAGTAATCTGTTCCTCTTGTTCACTACACATTGCTTCCGCTATGTCACACAGATTCGAAACATCACCAATGATAGCTTCCTGGGCTTCTGCCTGCATGGAGGAAGAAGGATTAAGGATTGCAATTATATTGTGCCAGTGGAACCGTGGAAGGATTTCGCCATACCATACAACCGTAACCCAAAAAATTAAAAGCTTTCTTCTCCGCCTCACTCTCCATTGGTAACTCAATTTTAAGGTCAATAAGGATCGAGGCAACGTTCATAAGACAAGCACCGATGATACTAAAAGCAAGCATCACAGAAATCTTTGTTCTCAATTTTCCACAGAGTAAGTGTAATAATGCCAAAATCAGCTCAACTCAGCCCCGAATTGGTGTCGTGGAGCATAAATTTCTGGCCTTGCAAAACCCTAAGACCCAAAATCTTTCAATTTTCATAATTCCTCACCAGCTAAACAATTGTAAAACCAAAGGAAAGAAATGCCCTTTTAACTGCAAGAGAAGCTCATCCCCCACTGACCCACAAACGGACTCCGACCCTT